TTGGAGCGTTGGCTCAACTTCTTACCTGCATGTGACAGAAATAGAGCAAGACGCAAGCTCGGTGCCTGGAGAAAGCTCTCCCCGCGGGCGTCTCTGTCCTGCTGCACGGAAGCTCCTCCCTTAAGAGGATTTAGCGGCTTTAATGATGTGGCTCATCTGGACTCTCTTCATTCCTGTTATTGTGTCTATTTTAGTTCTTGGGGGACAGGCGGGTGTAGTGTGACCTACAACCGTAAGCTGGTGCAGGAGATGCTCTAACAAGGCCTTCCCATAGCTCCCTAGGGGGGCCAGTTTTCGTATGAAATTCCTCATCTGACTGTAGCCGAGGAAAGGTTTTACCCCTCTCCTGTTTCTCCTGGTCCTTCTGTCACAGCTGCAAGGCAGCGGGGGACCATCCAAGACTGCAGGCATTCATCCAGTAGGTGTTTAAATCAGGGACGTGCAGGTGGGAGTTTTGCAGACCTCTGGTAGTCACAGGCCCTGAGGTGCTTTCCAGCTCAAACCATGGCTGTGGTTCTTGGTGCCCGGTGGCACTGTTCGGCGGGAAGCAAGCGGCAGAGGCACTGCTGCAAGGACCTCTGGCACCAACGGCACAGGAGCTGTTATGGAAAAGGGAGGGTGATGCTGGGAGGTGGACCATGCCCCATGCTATCTGAAGTGGGAATTATTGCTCCACTTTAATGGTGCCTGTGGCACGAGACCCACTTTCTTCCTGGCGGCCTTTCTGTTTCCGCTCACTGGTGAGTGAGAGGTGCCGGCGTGGGTCTAGCGGGGCTCAGGCTATGGTTGAGTGGCTTGGAAGGCTGGAGGAGGCAGCAGTGCTTCCAGTGGGCCTCTGCAACAAGGGATGATTGGAGCCTCGGTTCTTGCACTTCTTCCTCGGTTTCCTCTTTGGAAAAACTTGTGTGTGTCAAAATTAACTTCTAACTGCCAGGAACTCTGGCCCTCACCCAAGAGTGCCTTAACTTCACCTCTCTAAAACAGGAGCACCACGTCTGCATCCCCTTCTTCTCCTTCCCGGCCTTCGTTTGTCTCTGAACATGGATCATGACATCCTGGGATCTGGAGTCCTTATGTACAGCAGAGGGTGGGCTGTGCCCAGTAGCCTTGCCCCCTGCCCGTCAGCTTTCATGGGCTAAGAAATAAACTGTGCTCTTGCACTGATGCTTCTGTCGGAGGAATATGGGATTGGAGCTTTCCGTGGGCAAATGATTAACGACACGTGTGTGAAGGGATGGCTGAGTGAGCCACCTTCCCTTTAGGAGCTGTGTAACGAGCTGCAATCGTTACCTAAGCCCTTCCGTCTCTTCCTGGCTCATCTGTGTTCTTAAAGAGGGAGTGAAATGGAGGAAAGGCTAAAAATTGCAGGCTCTCTCTTGGCATGGTAAAAGGAATAATACGGGAGGCACAGCCAGCACCAGCAGTTCCTTGACGGTTGGTTGGCTGCGGCAGAGCCTGTTTGCTGAAAGCTCTCTGGGCTACCAGGGCTCGGAAACACTGAAGCAGTTAATGGCTGACTTGAACCTAGACAGGGTGATAAGTGAAGCACAAGGAACTGCGAGCTGGAGATTGCTCATATCATGGCTTTCGTGTGCTGACAGATTCAGAGCGAGCTAATTTTCTGGAAGAAAGATGAGGCGTTACTGTGGGCAGCTGTGTGAAAGGGACTGCCTGGTCGATGACAGCAGGAAAAGGGAATATAGCAGTAGCCTGTTGGGATGGGGATGGGAGCTCAGTAGCCAAGCATGTGTCCTCTCGGACACAGCAGGGCCAGGGCTCATCCAAAGTAAATACAGGGGAGAGAGGGAAGGAGTCTAAGCTGAGGGCAGGCTTTCTCCTGTGGGAAGAGGCACATGCATGGGCTGTCTGGCTGACTGCTCTAGTTCTCTTATCTCCTTGGTGGAGCTTCAGAACTGGGACACCACCGTTTAAAAGCAAGTTAAATTAAAGCGCGGTGCATGTACTTAATTTCTGAAACTTGCTGCTGAGGTAAGTGGCCTGTCTGTCTTTTAAGGAGCTCGGGAGCTCGGAAGGGCCAGCTCTCCTGTGCGACCAGGAGCCTTGCACATGGGCAAAGGACTGGTGGCATTTGTTAAGGATGCTGCTGGGCTGCCGCTTCAGTTTCTCTGCAGAGCAGCCTTGAGCAAACAGGTGCATCACAAAAGTGCTTTACGCTTTACTGCAAAATTGTTGCTGGGCTCTAAGCAGATTGCTGATCTCTTCCAGTATGATGATAATCCCGTGGCCATGTGTACTGGAGAAATGCTGATCTGGGACGAGCTATATACGTTAGGATATCCAGCAGCCCGGAGATCTGAATTTATATAATGGAGAGTTCCCCTTGTAGGCAAAAATAATTCTGCTTCAGTCAGAGGGAGGTTTCATATGCAAGCAAAGGAAGGGATGAGCTGTCAGAGCTGCAGCCATGCACTGTGAGCCAAGCTGACCTTCCCACAGCTGGAGTTGGGCACTGCCTTTGGTCCCTTCTGCTCCCCATCCGTTGCCATGGAGGCAGTTTGGGAGAGGGAGAGGATCTAGCTTGCAGGGATTTGCACAGCAGAGCCCAAATTTGCTGTAGTTTTACCTGTTGGGAATGAAGGAGGCTGTTTCCCGGAGTTGCCCTGGGGAAGGGGTTATGGTCACTGGATGTGGCTGTGTCCTCCACCAGCACGTGCCTCTGCCATCTCTGCCCTCGCAGGGATGGGGTTGAGGGGCCACATGGGAGCTCAATGCCCTCAGCTCTTGCCTCTACAGGAGGGGCTTCATACAGCAAATTGGCTGTCTGGTTTTAAAAGCAACCTGCTCCAGGACCCTGATATTTCTCAGGCCAGCTTACCAGACTGGCGCAGGTTTGAGTGAGTTGCCTCTAGGTGTTTTCTGCGTTGGGGGCTGTGGCATCACAACCCCTGCTGTGTCGGTGCGGGGCTTCAGGAGCGGCACGCGAGGCAGGGGTGGAAGTGACATCTTGGCACTTGGCTAGGACTGCAAGGGCTGCTGCCATCATCCCATAACGTAAGAATGTGCAAATCCTGCATGGCCAGAGCCAGCCTGTCTCCTGTGATGGATGATTAGCAGTTTGGTTGGGAATCAACGGTGAAGTCTAAATTAACTAGAGAAGCTCTACTATTGCACAAAACGGCTCAGTGCTCCAGTTAGACCTTTCCAGGGAAGTTTCTGTACCTTTCTTGGCATTTCAGTTTCTAGGTGCTGGAGTCTTAAAGGCAAAAACATCTATATTGGGAATGTCTTATTCCCTTCCTACCTGATTTTTTTTTTCCCAATTTCTCCTTGGTCCTGCAAATGGCTTACTTAACATTACTTGGAATATATGTGGACAGAAATGGAAGAGAGGTTCTGTATTCAGTGGTGTCAGTATCGAGTGTTTTTGTTGGACTTTGGTCCTCAGAGCTAACATGCTTGCTTTCAGAAGGCACTGTGCAGACTGCTCCGCTCTGCTCCCTTCTGCTTGTAATAAAATAATTTGTAGAGTAGTCATTGCATAAAAGGGTGCCATTCTGGCTGGTGTGGTGATAGGACCCTCTCTCTAGTACTGCAGTTGTATCTGTGCATTGGTTCTGGGGCTTGTTTCGTGCTGGTGGTGTGGAGCGATCAAAGCGTCCCCTTGACGGCGGTGGAGCCAGTGATGTGTCTGCCCTGTGTCAGCGTTGACTGAAGCCACTGGTGATGAGTCAGTCCTGAGTGGCTTTGCTGGTATGCCCCCAGCTTCCTAGTCTGCTTTACTAAGTAAATTCTGTCTCGTGTCCCCTTGCTCCCCATCTTCTGTGTCTTGTGATCGTGGAGCCAGGCTCCCTGTTCATACAGAAGCGTGGATCCAGAATACTGTGCTGCACTCGGATGGAGGGGACTGCTGACCTGCAGGTTAGCAAGGCTGTCTTACCCACTGCTGTTGCCTTGAATTCTGCACTGATGAAGGAGAGATGGAAACTACTTTACAAGTATCTATGCTGGATGCTCGAAGAAACCTGGGCTTAAAAGGCAGGCTGTGGTTCTAATCACGCTCATCTCTGAAGTCTCTTCCGGGGAAGGAAAAAACCCAAACCAATCAGTCAGACAAAACCCATCTGCATGCATGTACTTTCCCAACGATCTAAGAAGCTGCTGGGTTCTCCTTTGCATTCAGGTCCCTTTCTAATGCAGGTTTGCATAGGCACTGCACATGGAATAACTAAAGAGCCTTCTGAATTGCGCAGTATTTCTGCCTATTCCTGAAGGAAGCTCTTCTAATTAGAGAAGACTTCTGCTGGGCAGCACAGTGCTAGATCACAGCTGTGCGGAGAAGCCCTGGTGTGCCATGTGAAACAAGGTGAAGGCACAGCCCTTCTCTTTCTGATCCCGAGGGGTATGCTGCACCCCCCTGGGGTGCTGCACAGGAGCGGGGGGCAGGCTGCGGGTACGACGGAGGTCCCCCGAGGCTGGCGGGGGGGTCAGCCTTGCAAGAGAGCCCCAGCCCCTCTGAGGGACTCTCTGCAGGAGGTGGCTGCTCCCCTTGCACAGGACTCAGCAGGTCCCTCCAACGCGATCCTCCAAGGGTGATAACACCTTGCCTGAGTGCAGCTAAAATGGGGGTGGTTGTGCCTGCTCCCGAGGGGTGGGAGGTGATGCCCGCGGCCGCCTCTCCTGCCTGACGTGAGGGGAGATGGCAGGTCGGAGTTTCCTCTCACCCCCGGTCCCCGGGGGAGGTGTTGTGACTCACGGCTTCCTGGAACGAAACTGAGGTGACCAAAATGCTGTTGCTGAAACTGTGTGGGAATTTCTTACTGTCAAAAGCGGCATCAAACTGGCTGTTCCCTCGTCAGAAGAGGGTATTTCATGGGACGGCTATTTCGAGGAACAGCAAGCGGCTTTAATGCCTGAGCCCAAGACCTCAAAGGCTCCTTTGATTTGATGCTGTGGTCCTGCTGGTGGTCTCAGAGTGTGGGTGTTTCTGCATTTATTCCCAATCCTTCATTTTGCAGATTCGGAGGCTGTGGTGGTGGCGGTTTAGACTTGATCCTGTAGTAAAATGGTAAGTTCCCGCTTTGCGTAGCTTCAGGCAGGTGGGAAACCTCTTCCTAGCTTGGCTGTCAGCTACAAGCAAGGCTTACCAGCATCTACTTACAAGTAGATGGTGATGCACTCGGTTGCTCCTAGTTTGCCTAGAAGAGAGACAACCTTCGCCATGGGGTCTTTGCTGTCAGGAGGAGCAGCCTGTGCAGCGGTGTGCGAGCTGAGCCGGGTCAGCAGCCGTGTTACCGCCGTGCTGTCTGGTTGCTCCTGTGCCCAGGGTCTCCGTGGAGAGCCGTGGTGTCCTGCAGTGGGTGGCTTTCCTGATGGTAGCCTCCTCTTGGAGACTTTGCTGGACTGGCTTTCAGGCTGCTGCGCTAGCAAAAGGTAGTCGTGTATCCCGGGAGCAGAGGGAGCCTTGTGTTGCAGCTCTTACCTGCCTAGGTAGCATGCATGAAACCCTGTGCTGTAATTTGATGTCTTTAGTACATTTGGCTTGATTAAAAATTGTGGAACTGATACAAAGTACAAATAGTCTCTGGGGAGTGGGCTATGGGGGAAGAGCACAATGTGGTAGGACAGAGGCAAGTAAGAAAAAAAAAAAGTGTCTGCAGCCCTATTAAGAAGTAATCTTCACCTCAGTCATGATTTACTAACTAAAGATGAAACAGCCTTGCTTCTGCTCCCCCCCCCCCCCC